TATATATATGGTTTTTAGACAGGGTCTCACTCTGTAGCTTAGGCTGGCCTTGAACTTGTGGTGATCCCCCTGTGTAAGCCTCCCAAGTGCCAGGATTACAAGCATGTGCCACCATGCCTGGCCCTATACATTGAAATTTTTATCTCAGCTATACATTGAGGCACATGCCTATAATTCCAGAACTCTGGGGGGGTTGAAGCAGAAGGATTATAAATTTCAGCCCAAGCTGGGCAATTTAGAGATTTAGCAAGACTGTGTATTAAAATAAAAAAATTTTTTAAAAGGTTAAAGAGTTGGGGTGGGATGCTGGTTATATATATATATATTTGTTTGTTGTTCTTTTGAAACAGGGTCTCGCTATGCAGTTCAGGCTGGCCTTGAGCTCACTTTGTAACCCAGGCTGGTCCCAAACTTGCAATGATCCTATTGCCTCAGAGATGCTGTTTTACAAGTCCATCCAAGTATTATTTACCCAGGGGGTATATAGTTGGTTGATATTGATAAAATATCAAAAAACATTTATATCCAGTAGAAAAGTAGTAAAAAGGTTATAATTTTTATTGTCCTGTAGGAAATCAACTAGATCCTTTTGTTGTTTTTTTTCTTTTGTTTTTGTTTTTGTTTTTGAAACAGGATTTCACTATAAAGCCCAGTCTGGCCTCAAACTCTTGGTGATATTCCTGCCTCAGCCTCACCAGTGCTAAGATTACAGGTGTATGCCACCATGCCCAGCAAATCAGCTATTGTACATAGTTTTGTACCTAACTCAGTAATCATGTGCTAATATTCCCCTTTGAATGCCTATCCATATCCAGGTCCTTAAAGTGCTTTATTACCTTAATGATAAATAAACTCTTTGAAGATGAGTTTAATAAATCTTAGTTAATATCTGTTCTATGTTTAGACATTTCTTTTCTCTTTGTAACACTAGGAATTGAACATCCCCAGCCCTTCTTTATTTTGAAACAGGGTCTTGCTAAATTGCCAAATTGCCCAAGCTAGGCTTAAAGTTGCGATCCCCTTGCCTGAGCCTCCTAAATGCTGGGATTATAAGTGTGTGCTCCCATGTCTGGCTACAAATTGGTTACTTACAAAAACATATTCATGTATTGCTTGGGTTATCTTTTTTTATGTTTTTGTTTTTGTTTTTTTGAGACAGGGTCTTGCTATGCAGTCCAGGCTGGCTTTGGACTTGCTATGTAGCCCAGGCTGGCCTCAAACTCATGGCAACCCTCTTGCTTCAGTCTGCCAGTTGGTGGTGTTACAGGGGACATTGCACCACAATGTCCAGATACTTTTTTTGTTTTTGTTTTTGTTTTTGAGACAGGGTCTCGCTGTGAGGTCCAGGGTGGCCTTGAATGCACTATTAGCCCAGGCTGACCTCAAATTTGCAGTAATCCTCCTGCCTCAGCCTCCTGAGTGCTGGTACTACAAGGTGTGCCACCATGCCCAGTGGATTATTTTTGTAATGGCACTGAGCTACAACTTTGTGTGTGTGTGTGTGTGTGTGTGTGTGTGTGTGTGTGTGTGTGTGT